GGAAAGAAGCTCTTCCACATGGCTAAAGCCTGGTTGGTGGCTTGAAGTTGCAAAAGTCTCATTAAGGAATTAATTATTTCCTTGGCGTGTCACAAGTATTGCAGGTGGTAGTGTTCATTATCCTCTTATTAGGTAGGGGTCCTAGACCCTGATTCTTGCAATACCCTTAGTCTTATCTGTCAACTGTACTGTCCAGCATCAAACCTTCAGGTGTGAACAGGCACAGAATGCTGTCCCCGTACCCTGCATTTTAGAGCATGGGTAAATTTACAGTGGATTGGTAGAGGGAAGTGCACTTCACTGCAAACCACTTACATGCTAAGAAACCTGTTATTAGAGGACCTGATTTTGCTTGCCCTTATAAAAGCGTTCCCGTTTGAAGTCAGTGCTTCATGCTGAGTAGGTGGATGATCACTTCAGATGTCATTCTAAGCACACTGTACTTGCTTGACTAGATGAAGGCTGTTAATAGAGCAACACCCCCAACTATCTACCAAGATCCAAGGCGTATTTTGCTCAGTGCAAACTGTGAGAGACTGCCCTGACGCCGCAGGCTCTGGAGGAAGGGGGGAAGAGGACAAAGGTCCAGCAAGGCGGGCGACTGACTCGTGGGGCGTCTCGCACCGCGCCTGGCTCCAGCGCTGCCTCCGCGGGGCAGCGCCAAGAGCGGGACTTCTGGCTCTTGCCGTTTGTTTTCCACGAAGGTGGTTTTGCTTTCCGGGCCGGATGGCGATGCGGGGCAGCGGGCCCCTTCGGCACATGTTAAACTTCAAAGGCAATCAATCCTGCAACTCGACAGCTGTGCTGAAGCAGCTGAGGACGGCTCCCATCAAAGGCATTTCCCAGACATGGACGTTGCCTGAAAGCTTCCGAGGTTGCATGTGCCCAGGCATTCAGGACAGAGCTAAAATTACCATCCGTTTCGGAAGGCCAGGCACGGAGGCGGGGTGCGGGGGGCAGAGGCGCCGCTGTCCGTAGCTGCCCTCCGCAAACCTAGCCCG